TTCACTGGTTGTCATTTTAAGTGACCTATAACTAATCTTATTTTGAAAATGTGGATTCTTTATATCATATAATTTTATAAGTTTTCTAAAGAAAACTTTTGTCTGATTTTGGTTGAATCAATAAACTTGATACGTTTCTACGGTCTTTTCATTCATTGTTTACTTTAAAATAAGAATTTAGGACAAAATTACATTAGTAACAATAAAACAACAACATACATACATACAATGACCTATATAAGTTTGATTATTTTGTTTATATTATAAATAAAAGAAAGTTGATCTGGCACAAAGTATCTAGTATAACACAGAATTATAGCGTGATATACAACAGAATGAAATATTATAGAATTGTAGTTTTGAAGAGAAAAAAAAATCAACTATTACTCTGAATAATTTTTGGTATTTAGGGGTAATTCTGGTTAGAGCTTCTTTAATAAGGTTGTTTTCGATAGGATGAAACGCCCAGGACAAATTTCAATGGAGAATCTTGTTGGGTGGCCAATGATCCTCCATGAAAGATAATAGGTGTAAGTAAGTAAGTAAGTAATAGTAATTCTATTCACACGGTTGTAGAAAGAAGAATTAGAATGTGTAACATGATTTGTTGTGAATATAGTGGGTTTTTTATACGAGGTTAATTTAACACTCTTATCAGCGACAAAAAGCGTTGTTACGTAACGGATTTCAGTGTTATTACATTTGTAGGTACCAAATAAAATGACGATGTTCATTCTCACTGGAATTTATATTGAGTGCTCATTGCTATGTTCTTCGAGTCTGTCGGTGCTGATCGAATTATATTAATAGAATTACATTGTGGTCACAAATCTAAGTAATTAAACATTGAGCTTACAATATTTTTTATTTTAAGCGGTTTAGGTACCCAGCTATTTTCTACTAGTATATGGTTAGGATCAAATAAACGTTATTTTACCTGGATTGAAGTACGGGTTTCAGTAAGTTGACATCTTAAAATGTAGACGATGATTGTGTTTAGCGCTCTGGATAAAGGTAGTCTTAATTCATAATAAAAGTTTAGCACTCGATTAGCATAGCCTTAATCTCAGAATTCACGTTTTAACTATCCTAAATCAACATTTAAAACACCATTTTGAGCTGAAATCGAAATGTCCATCAACAAAATAAACCTTATATTGTTCAACATAATTGTCATCAACTGTCATGTTAACAACAAAGAACGATTAACTAAAATGTAAATGTTCATTTTGAGCAATTGTCTACTAATTCTAGCATTGGAATCCCATATACGTTTTATTATTAACATATGAAAGTCAAATTTAAACCATTCTCATAACAACATACAACTTAATACTTTACAGGTCTATAATTTACGGATGAGTCAATCACATTTAGGATAACAGGTCTTGGATTTTGGCGCAAAATTCACTCATCCATTTGGCTAGATAGCGTTTTGGCATTTTAACTGATGTCAGTTCGTGATGAAAAATCTAAATCTTATTCCTAACCCTAACCATCAACTGTAAATTCTAATCGTTATTCTTCACACAGGTCTATAACTCTCGTTTAGCTATAGTAAGTTGGCGGACATTCTCCAGGTCACTTTAGTGTCGCTCAAAGGTCGTCCATAAATTATAACCTTACTATAAGCAGTCTTTTAATGACAGTATTTGCAGAATATGATAAATTCATCATATTTTGTTTCTTTTACTTCCACTGCATATGTAAGCTAATATGTTTAATTATTTGCAATTATTACCATGACACGGAAAAGTGATTTATTAATCAATAACGAATAAGTTGTGTGTAATGTATTTCTAGAAGAAATGGTGGATATCATCTATGGCGTATACATTAAAAAGAGATCTGGTGTAAACGAAATATAGACCTGCGCAGCTGTTGCCCTATAAGCTCGAGTAAGAGTATACTGTAGTAGAAAATAATTGTCTGCGAAACAATGGGTAACCTCAATCAATTAAAAGGAAATATAGTACTGACTATCGAAGTAAGATAGAAGAATTTAAGTTCAAAAGGAAATATGTTTCTATTCAATTGTCATTCAAATACGATCAACTAATGAATAAAATTAATCGAGTACTAAATGCAACTTTAAAAAGTACATTTCTCCTGGGAAGTTGATTCCTTTATACAAAATACATAGTGGATAAGTATCTGATATTTATCACCTCTGATGGGAAATGTCAATTTACTTGTACATAAAAACACGTACAATGATTTCTGTTCGTTTTAATGAGCACATTCCAAAACATCTATGCCTTAAAAAAAGAAAGCTGCCTAGGAAGTGCAACAGAACGCGCTACTTGGTAGACATGAGGCACTATGTGGATGCATTAAATTCATTCATAGTTATCAGTGAACAGTTCAATTCCGCAACGTCAAAATTTACAGGAACCAAACCTACTAGGATGTTAAAACTAAACCTTTTTATACAGAAAGACTAATTAGTCAATCTTCAGTTTTCACTGTAACATTTTAAACTTGCTTCGTTGAGATCAATTCAATCTGGTGGGTTGAACTCATACATTCTCTTTTCCTTTGTTGTATTACGTAATAAAATCATTTTCATATTTTAGAACTATTATCTTAAACAACCATAAAAAGAACCTCCTATTAAATTTGTCATTCTTAACTCCTTTCATGTGGAGCGCAACTTATTTGTTATTGATTGATAATTCATTTTCCCATGTTATGTTAATAATTGTGAATAATTAAACGTATTACCTTAGATGTGTAGTTGAAGATAAAGCAATAAAATACAATGAATTTAGCATATTCTGCAAATATTGTCGTTCTTACTTTGTTTAAAAGTTGTAAAGGGAATCAGCTGGCTTGAATATTCCAATGGTTCGAATAGTAGCGTATTATGTTCTTAAGTCCTTATATCAACCTTTCTACTGGTTAAGTGGACATCTTGAAATACCACGACGGGTATATGAATACATGTGCACCATTCATGATTATATTTAAGTGATATCAATGTGTGAATTACTCTTGAATTCAATTTATCTTAAATAAACATTAGTTTGTAAAGTCCACAAATAATTTTGAGTTTGTATTTAGAATGATATACTACATATATGTGGAATGAAATTTCAGTATCGAGTCTAGTATTAGTAGTCTACAATGGTGGACAATACTGAAAATTATTAGTACTTAGTCCAGTAAATAGTGAACATTTGATCTTCGTCTCTTTTTTGGTGAATTGATATATCCGGAAGTATACAGTTAGGTAGTCGTTTGACTTAAAACTGATTCGTTGTATGATGTCATATTCGTAAAGGTTCTTTACTTGTTATTGTAGTCAATCCATAATAATCAGCTCCCACAATATTACAAAATTTAGTTTTCCTGTATGCCAAATAGTTTTGTGTTTTCTCTCGATTAGAGCCGTTTTAGGAATATATGGTAGAATATTTTCGCACACTGATTTAGAAGCTATATGTCTACCTTCAACAAGATTGATATTGATCTCAAAATGTCAATATTACTTCGATTTGTTTCCTACTTAGTGAGTTTACTATTATGCTCTGACAACAAGACTTAAAGCTCATATGTCTGATCTTGTAACTGATCAAATATACATTATGATGTAATGTCTCAACCTATACTGAAGTAGATAATTGATTCTGGTGTTTAATATTTCGTCATATAAATTGTGATCATGATTACTAAAAAGTTAAGTAGTCCTTTGAGATTATTTAATTCAAACAAGTTTGAAATTGCCACAATCCATTTATATATGTCAGACTAACCTATAAATATACGTCGATTTGGTCCTTGCAAAAACCAATCCTGTACAACAATTTACATAGTTCGCATATATTAGAGAAGTGTATGTATGCATGAAATAAGTGTTTTTTCGTAGATAAGGCAAAATCAACAGACTTCTGTACGAAAAAATATGTTTGATAAGTTTAAGAACTATTGAACTAACTGATTACAATTATCTGTATTGAGAAAGATTCCCATAAATGAAACAGAATAAAAGAAAAACCAAGTTTTACCGCAAACAGTGATAACATAAGTTCATATAAGATCTAATTTTTATCTGTAACCGATAAATTAACCTTTCAGTCAGTCCTAAATGGAATTCAAATTAATGTTTAACACTGTAATATTGGCTCAGCAATCCCTGTTCAGATTTAGTCCATGATCAAGCAAACTTTCTGAATTTATCAAGTCATAAATGTTACCAACTTGAAAAACGATCTGTTACACAATAATTATTAATGTTACGGAGAAATACCTTGACAAATCAGGTAATCCCACGTTATTGACGGTATTATTGGTTAAAAATATTCAAAAACTTCGACTGGAAACATTCGATTAGTTTGTTAAATAATCTTTACTACCATTGAAATATGAATGCTTTAGTCTCGATAATGAAAACTATGAGAATGTATTTTGATGAATCTCTAATTCAAAGAATATGACTTGACAATTATATTCGTTTATTAATAAATTCAGTATCAAATGTTATAACTGAAGTTTACTGCATCCAGATACATGTATATATTGATATCATGAATGGATCAATCTTATACCACCATTGTAAATCTAGAAGCACTGGACGGCCATTCCGTCCTAGTATGGGTCTCCACAGCAGTGTAAATTCACGACCCCGTGCGTGAGACTCGAATTCAGCACCTTCGGTCTAGAGCACGAACGCTTAACCTCTAGACCATTGAGCCAGCGTCTAACGGTATTGCGCGACCGTCCACCATTATTTTCAGTAAGTAACTGTCTCACAACAGACACGGTTGAATTTCACTGGTCATGGCATCTCAGTGGAATTCCAGGAAATCCATCTTGAAGTCAGTCACTAGTGACAAGGAAGAAACAGTCTTTCAGTGCTTTAAGATTGGTAGATTCATGATATCAATCTAAACTCAACAATTTCCACAACCCTATACATGTATATATAATAATATATAATATTTATAAGATCGGCAATAAATTATCATTATTTCTAATTGAAATTTTAATTATAATCTTACCTTGAGGTATTGTTAAATGTTGACATGAGCTTAACCATCGTTTAAAAGCAGTCAAATGTGCTTGGACATGTGCTGGATTTTCTGACAGATTCTTTTTAGCTAATTCTACATAAAATGGTGATAGACTGTTGCTGACTTTGACAGCCATAGTTTACAAAGTAATAAGATAAGGGAATGTTTATCACAGATGAATATCTCTCTCTATTTATATATGTTTTCTCAATTTCAAAATGATATAATTCTGTAAAATGATTGGTCATTGAAAAGTGCTCACTGTTGGCCAATGTTGAATTATTCTAATTTTTTATTGGTCAATGTAATAAAATGATTAAATGATAAATCGAAATAAAAATATTGTTTCACTTGTGTTATCATTATTAATCAAGTATAGGAATCAGTTTAACTAGATTGTTCCTTGTTTGGATAAAATGAGAAAGACAGTTAACGTAGAATAATGTCAAAGGGAACAGTTTATAATCGGAAGAGCGTATTGAAATATCATATCAGAAAGGCGAATCTCTTGGAGTTGACACTAAAGTTTTCTTTCACTTTGGGTACCAATGATATATATAAGAAAATATAAACAGTTTAGTGGAAAAAATGTCTGTTTGACGATATCACTGACTAAATTGATGTATTTGGCAACAGATATCAGAAATTGACATTACTTATGACAGAATTAGAGAGGAAATTAGCGTCATGGTAAGGTGAGCGATTGAATATAGTACTTGCAGAAGCAGAGAACATGCTTGAAGTGATGAAGTGCTAGAATCTTTATTATACACATGTATCTATAAGGTACTCCCTTTTAGTCTAATTTTACAGGTGATTTAGAAGGTTACTTTCGGTGGGATATCGTGGCCATAGCTGGTGAAACTGCTGATCATCTTAAATTTACCTTTAGACAACCTTGTAGAGTAGTACTTAAAAACAAATAAAAAAGAGTACACATTGTATGGCCGACATAACTTAGTTCACAAGACCAACTAAACTTACGGATACATGGTGAAGTAGTCGAAGGCAAAGTTTTATACTCTATCCCTCTTAACTTTGATGTTGGTAGAAAAAAATCAACCCGGTAGATATTTCCCAAAGATCATGGGGATTGAGTCTTACTGTCGCTGGTGGAGGATCGCCTTTGAATTTTACCAGCTTACCGTTTCGGTTTCAGATTTCACTCAATAAATATGGGTGGAAAAGTAGGTTTCACAATTCACTTCCGATTGTTTCTTCCGTGCAAATTCATTTGGTTTTTGAGGATAGAAAATGATTTACGTTTCACTTCTTTCTCAATGGTTTGCAAATTTGAAAATTCTCAACACTGCACTTACTAAGTTGGTTTTCTTTCATTAATCTTTGTAGCGTACTGTTTGGTACTCATCTTCATAAATATCGAAGAAGTGGATTTACAAGTTAATTTCTGGTTCTATTGTGAATATATTAGAATAATCCTGAGTATTAAATTTCTGTAGTATGTCATGACATTTTCTGTTACCTTCAAAGAGAATGAAATTTGTCGTCAATATATTTCTTGTATAAATTAGTTTGATGCACAGTACTCCAAAGGTTCATTTCAATACAGAAAATATAGGGTGTTTATATAATATTTTAAATGTCTTTGGGTTGCTCGAAGATTCTGGAATGCTACTAAACATAGTAGCAGTATAGCAATCAGCCAATCAGAACCATCTACATGTAACCTTTCACTGCCTTGATGTTTCTGGCCGAAACTTCAAGTGAACACTGATTGGATGAAATGCTTCTTAGTGCTTCCTGATCCTTACTTGTCTCTTGCGAGAAACTTTCTGGATCACCCCAACAATTTTCATGTTTTCTTCAAGGCTAAATAGCATTTGAATGTCTCAGTAGGATAATGAATATACATTACTAAAGATTACCTTGCTGAATCGAATTACCTATTCAATTGGTCCTAGTTTTCATTGGTTATTTGTTTAAGATCAATTTCATGGTATAAACTACAAAAATTCAACAGTTTCCATAGACGTTTTGAATACTTTTCGGTCGTAATATTTTTATTTGGTTGTTATTATTATTACTTTATTGAATTGTCTAACATTTTCATGTTTTTTTTTGTATTTTTACTCAAGACAAAATCGCATCATATCATATTCATTACAATAATCTTCTTCTTTCTACCGATTTCTGTTAATAAATTATCATAGTAACATCATTCATAACTTTGACAAATAAGCACAAACCCACATACACAGAGAGAAAAAGAGAGAGAGAAAACCATATTGACTTGATTTCATCATTTTTAAAGAAAAACAGATTTCAAAAAAAAGAAAAAGAATGGAATTCTTTTCAAGGTTGAAAACTTTCTTTCTTATTTGATTATTAACATTACCGAAGTTGTATAAAAGATAAAATATCATCCGATTAGTATATAGAGTAATATAAACTCATCTTTAAACTTATTCTATAAAGGGAATATGAAATGGTTTGAATTATTTTATTCTGGTTAGAGTTTTTTTAACGAGTTAGTTTTCTACGGGATGAGGTCACTAACCTCATGCCCAACCCTGGTCCTTTATTCGGGCTTGGGACCGGCAGTAGCCTTGGAGGGGCTCCAGGCGGTGATCGACTGCGTCATGAAGACGTCAACATCTGAGGGGAAGCATAGGATACAGTGGACAGCTAGAATGCAGCTGGACGATCTAGAATTCGCAGATGATCTGGCTCTTCTATCGCATACGCAACAACAAATGCAGGAGAAGACAACCAGTGAAGCAGCAGCAGCAGTAGGTCTCAACATACACAAAGGGAGAAGCGAGATGCTCCTATACAACACAGTGAGCAGAGCAGAGTACATGAGATCCGATAAACGGAAGAAAAAGAGAAGTTAGCCAACGACTCAGTGAGTACATAAGGATCGATTAAGGTTATTAAATGATAGGAATCAATAAAAATAATTTAAAAAAATAAACATAAATGAATCCAATGGCAGGGAGGTGATATTTCTGGGAAAATTATGTCTTAACGTCATAAGATAATTGAGAAACAAGTGTAAGTAAACGAACTACTGACTTAAATAATATCATCGCCTACATATCTCTTCCTGGTTCAATCTTACATTGCATTCATTGTAAATATAGTTATTTCGTTCTTGTCAATAACTCTTACTACATAGTTCTAATCTTCATCCAATGCACAGTTGATTGTCCAAATGTTAATAAGCAGATAATAATGACCAAATTGGAAAGAAACACTTGGCTACTACGAAATTGCGATAATATGATATTCAGAACTTTAAACAAATTTAAAACTGTAGTGGAATTGAAAATGTCTGTCAAGATTTCTTATTGAATATCTTTTTTGTTGGATTCAACTAATCTATTCTAACAATTGCATAATTGTTTTTGTTTTTAAAATACAGGGTACCATCAGAATCATTAATGTGTATCCTAACGTGTCAAGAGGTTCTGGGTCTAAAGAAATACCATCATAAGGAATGGATCTCTACAGAAACACTGGACAAGATCAAAGAAAGGAAGAACAAGAAGACAGCAATTAGCGACGGCCGAACACAGACAGAGGAAATTTAAGCACAAGCTGAATACATAGAAGCAAACAAACAAGTGAAGAAGAGCATTAGAGCCGACAAGAAGAAATACGTGGAAGAACTAGCAACGACGGCAGAAAAAGCTGCTAAAGAAGGAAATATGAAACAGCTTCACGAAACAACGAAGAAACTAGCAGGGAAATACAGTAAACCAGAGAGGCCGGTCAAAGACAAAGAAGGCAAGCCAATCAATGAAATTCAACAACAGCGAAACAGATGGGTAGAATACTTCGAGGAACTCCTGAATAGGCCGGCTCCAATGAATCCACCGAACATCGAAGCAGCACACACAGATCTTCCTATAGATGTCAACCCACCAACGACGGAATAAATTAGAATGGCCGTCAGACAAATCAAGAACGGGAAAGCAGCAGGACCCGAAAACATACCAGCTGAAGCACTGAAATCAGACGTCGAAGTAACCACAAGCATGCTTTACCCTCTATTCAAAAAGATTTGGGAGGAGGAACAAGTGCCAATGGACTGAAAAGAAGGACACCTAATCAAGATTCCAAAGAAAGGAGATCTGAGCAAATGTGAAAACTACAGAGGCATTACACTACTGTCAATACCAGGGAAAGTCTTTAACAGAGTGTTGCTGAACCGGATGAAGGATGCAGTAGATGCCCAACTTCGAGATCAGCAAGCTCGATTCCGAAAGGATCGGTCGTGCACAGACCAAATTGCAACACTACGGATCATCGTCGAACAATCAATTGAGTGGAACGCGTCACTATACATCAACTTCATTGATTATGAAAAGGCATTCGACAGTGTAGATAGGAGGACATTATGGAAACTTCTTCGACACTACGGAGTTCCTGAGAAGATTGTCAATATTATCCGGAACTCATACGACGGACTACAGTGCAATGTAGTGTATGGAGGATAGCGGACAGATGCATTCCAAGTAAGGACCAGAGTCAGACAAGGCTGTCTACTCTCTCCCTTCCTCTTTCTTCTGGTGGTTGACTGGATTATGAAGACCTCGACGTCTGGGGGAAAACACGGAATACAATGGACAGCTCAGAATCAATTAGACGATTTGGACTTCGCAGATGACCTCCTATCGCATACACATGAACAGATTCAGACAAAGACAGCCAGTGTAGCAGCAGTCAATGCATCAGCAGGCCTCAACATACACAAAAGAAACACCAAAATCTTCAAATACAACACGGACAACACCAATCCAATCACACTTGATGGCGAAACTCTGGAAGATGTAGAATACTTCACACACCTAGGAAGCATCATCGATGAACAAGGAGGTTCAGATGCAGACGTAAAGGCGAGGATTGGCAAAGCAAGGGCCTCATTCTTACACCTGAAGAATATATGGAACTCAAATCAACTGTCAACCAATATCAAAGTCGAAATCTTCAATACGAACGTCACGGCAGTTCTACTGTACGGAGCTGAAACTTGGAGAACTACAACAACCACAATCAAGAAGGTTCAAGTACTTATAAATAGTTGTCTACGCAAGATACTCATCATCCACTGGCCGGATACCATCAGCAATAGCCTTCTCTGGGAGAGAATAAACCAACTTCCAGATGAAG